ACTTTCACAGCTGGCTTGGCTCAGAGTTCCACAATATCAGTAGAAAACTTCCCTTGACTTTGAATGGCTCTGGCCAGGTCCATATTATGCATAAGAGCCTCTAAGGAGTTATCTGTGGGTACAGTTAACAGTTTGCTTATGCCAATATCGAGTGTTTCCTGAGTCTTGTGAATGTTTGCATTTTGTAAAGCTCACCTGCTCTTCTGAAGCTTTAAATGTTTGATTTAATTATGCCATCAGACCGCATAGAAGGGAGAGTGGATGAGAAAGGATGGGGGCTAAGAAAAAGGAGAAACGAGTTTTGATGAACGAGAGAAGTCAATGTAGAAGTCAAGAAGCAAAATCAAAAGGAAGAGAATGGAAAGACAGTAGGGAGGAGAGTGAGGAAGAGCACATCCTGGAAATGGCCCAGTATAAGCTTGATTTTCCTATTGTTAAACTGCAAATGAAAGGAACAAGGGTGGGAATACAGAATGGTTAGCGCAGAGATGGCAGCTCATGCTCTGATGGGTTTCCAGGGTCTTTTTGCATGGTGTGTGCTGGGAGGGCCAACCAGGGGGAGGGAGGGGCGGAGGTGGACTGAAACCACCTGTAGAGAAAATGTGTCTCCTGTTGTCTCCTCAGTTCCCCCTGTAGTGTCCTGAGCCCCAGGCCTCTGCTCAGGTGACTGCGGGTGGGTTAGTCACCGGCGCGTTCAGCATGCCTGTGCGGCCCGCTCGGACAGCTGCTGCGCGCAGGTTCCCTGCCCCGTCTCCGGCAATGTAGCAACTAATTGGGTGTAGTGGTGTGAGAGCTGTGAGCAGGGACTGGGGCTGGGATGTCCTGGCTGTGCTCTGCTGGGAGCGGTGTGGCCCAGCCAGAGACCGAGCGCTTCGGGACGGTGCTGGCAGCGAGAGTGCCGATGGGGCCGCAGGGTGTGCCCCAGGAAAATCCGTGCTGCGAAGAGTTCCCTATAGCCTTCCTGAGCAATTCTGGCTGTTAAAGATTTTTGCCTGTGTTGGATTAGTGAGTTGTTTAAGGATCTGAGGCAAACCAGTAAAACAGGCTGATGAATCCATGCGGTAGGTGCCGATCTGGGTTGCTGCCTTTTTCAGAAGTAAACAACTAGGAGCCATTGTTCATCTTCCTAATGCTCTGCAGGACACAGGCTGTAAATTACATCTAGGAACAAAAGTCTGATGGGAGTAGAACCGGGTGCCCAACTTCCCAAGGGAGTGCTTTACCCTCCAGCCAAAAGAGTAGCTTTTCTGGCTTAGACCAGCACAGGCTCCTCTCATGCTTCCCATCAGCACTCAGAGCCCAAGAAAAGAGTGCAGCACAGGATTTGCTGCACTGAACCATTTACAACAGTTTCCATTACAAAACCTGGCTTCAGTGTTGATCATAGAAATTAAATCTGGTCTGAAATACAGGAAACAATATTGCAGTCTAGGGACACAGGAGGAAATCTTATTAAAAATACCTTATCTTATTGAGATGACAGTTAAATGGGTATAAAATCCTCCCTCCTCCCCCAACACTGACTTGCAGCCAGGCTCACAGACCAGCTGTAGTCTATGTAGAATGAACGCTGCCATGGCCAGAATTACCTAATGAGATTTGTGGGCTTTATATTCACCAAAACGATGCTCTTCAACTCCCCATAACAAATATTAAATTACCACCAAAGTATATTCAGAAAAGGATTTTTTTTAATATTTTTTTTTTAAAAAAGGGCATTTCTGCCGATAATAGAAAAAAAAAAAAAAAGTTTTTCGAATTAGAAGCTTACAGTTTTGAAGTTCCTGGTTTTTAGAATACAAACGCTGGCTATTTTGACAGAAAGAAAATGTTATTCTTCCCCCTTTCAGTTGTTCCCATTTAATAGTGAAACTGATCTCCACTGGTGTCATTTTTTCCATCATATCTTCAGGTACATTCACTTTTTGGTCTGTCCATATAATAAAACCCAAATAAATATACATTATACTGAGAGGCTGACCCACTGAATTCAGCGAAATTTCGTCCCTTGACTGCAGCTAGGCCAGAATTTCATCCTCTACAGGGATTCCTGCAAAAACATCTCTTTATATTGCTGTAAGTCCTGTGTGTTCCTTTTCTAGGGCTCCAATACATGTATTCCCTAATAGGACTTTTATCAAAATTAATTGCTGCTGGCAACAGTCCATGTATGTGATAAAATCACTAATTAGTTATTTTGGTGTTCCTGTACTATATTACACCATCACAGATTCAGTATCTGCTGTGTCAAAGGCTTCACAGAAGATGCTAGGCTTTTATCCTTTTCAGTTGTATAGTTTCACTGTCTTTTGAAAACTTAATTCATTTGGTGCTATTTACTATTTTACAAATTTTTAGTGTCAGCAATTTAGCTGCTTGTTGCCAAAGGAGTAAGCAAATTCCAAAAGCCTGAAGTTTAACTATGTGATTTGTTATCAATAATGTCACAGGAACAAATCCATAATGGGAATAAACTGATAGGCTCAACTTACAATGATGCTCTGCTGCATTTCCTCAGCTGAAGATTTGATTTAGGATTTTTCTGTTCCTGTATACTAAAATTATCCCAAGCTAAAGGAGAAGTTACGTATTTCTCACAAAGAAAACCCTGTAAATCAAAAAAACTTTTCCCTGTTCTATACATTTCCTTTGCCTAAATTTTCTGGTAGCATCAGGCCCTGCACCCAGGCTAAGTCTGGACTGCTATCTACCTCAGGCCAAAATATTTTAGGGAAAAAATTCCATGTTTGGGTAGAAAAGGACATATTTTTGTGTCAGCTTGGCTATCTATTTGTTAATGGCATCTCTTTGAAACACTCAGTGCATTGGAATGCAAGTGTGTGTCCTAGGCTGGCATGTAAGCAGGCATATGGCATATGAACTGGACAAACTACCTAATCTTAGCCCAATTTCACAGGGCAATAAGCAGGAGACTTTCCGAAGTGCAATGCCATGTACCCCCACCAAACACACAGAGAAGTACTGAGAAGTCTCAGATGCATATCAAATAATATTCAGTATTGAGAAAACCACCTGTTCATAACCTGATGTTAGAAGGGCTAGAATTAGAAACTTCAGGCCATGAAGAGACTAGGAAATTCCACTCCTGGTAAAATAAGACTTTTTTGCCTGTAACAGTTGCCCACATCACTGAAATGGACATTGGTCTCCATTTACCTGTGCCAAAGAAAACTTACTTTCATTTTTTCATTCCATATAATTGTGAATACAGGAATTGAAGAGAGGTATTTATGTTTATCAGAAAATTAAGACTCAAAGATACTAAAATTTTAATTAAATATTCCATTATTTTGTTTCATCCATAGGGGTGAATTTTAGAAGTCATTTAGCAATTGAAGAAAAAGATATGCTTAGCAAAATTACAGCATACATTAACCGTGCACCAGCATTTTAAATTCCACTAAACTTCATTCATATATTTCAGTGCCAAAATATCTATAGCTATAAACGTAGAGGAATTCACAGAACTATTCCTTTTCCACTACTATAAACAGGAAGGTATATAGGAGATTGTTTTTTCCTTGCTTTTAAAGCCATTTGTTTAAAAAGAGAAAGTAGCGTATTCACTAAACAAAAGGTGTTTTATCTGTAACTTCAAAGTTGCTAGCTTCTTAATAAAATGATCCCCTGTGTTTTAAAGAAAGATTTTCACTTTAACCTTGTCCCATCAGATATTCTATACCTGTAGGAAAAGCCTGTTGGAACCTGTTGCTAAAAATTTGGCTGATTAAGGAAAGGATAGCCAGCCATCTCTAAGTCAAAAGTCAAAGAGAAGGCAAAGTCCTGAAAACCTCTTTGTGTAACGTTCTTGTGCTTGTGTCTGGAAGGACCTGTCTGTATTTTTCCACTGTTTGTGTTAACAGAGATTAAAAATTAATGAGAAAATTCTTTCAAGTGGGAGGATCGACAAAACGGTAATCTGATATAGAACTATTCATTTCAAATTTGCTGAGTGAAACCGAAATTGGGGCATTACTGGCTGTCAGTCATTGCCACGTGTTGGTTGTTTAAGGTGAGATGTAGTGGATTTGGTGATCCCTGACCAACCCATCATTCTGCTGCACACACACCACTGTCGCAATTCTGCAGCTCTGAAGTGGCCAGTGTATGGAGGCATCCTGAGAAATTGCTAAGGCCCACAACAGACATGCCTTTCACTTATCTACAGAGGCTTTGAGCTTTTGACCAGGGATTTCAAGTGGCATTTAGAGCCACACAAAATCCCACACTGCAATGAACATGTGTCCATCAGGAACTGAGACCTCGTGTGAATGTCACTGTCGTATGTTCTCATCATGATTTTCTGCTTTGTGAATTGGGAATAGGAGGAATAATTCATTCCATACCTCATACCACCAATGCAATAAAACATCAGCCTTAGTAGTCAGTATCACTGCTGGCACTGGCATTAGTTACCACTTTTGTTGGAGCAGCCTGTACAGGGAAGCCGAGGGTGGAGTGGGCTGTGGGAGATGGAACTGCCTCGACTTACCTTCTGCATGAGGTTATTCTCCAGGGACGAACAGAAATGTTTTAGAAAGGTTCATGGCAAAGCAGGCATTGTGCTTACTCTAAATTGACCTGCAAAATGATAAATTGGTGAGATGGGGCAAAATAAGCAAAATATTTTGGGGAAACATCCAGGAAGTTGTAGATGCTTTGCTGGGGTTCAGAAATTCTAGTGCTTTACATTCACCTGGCTTGCAATAATGAGGAGATTTTAAAATGCAGGAGGGGAAGCTTATAACAAACAGTGCCTTGCTGAGCTAACTCAAGAGAGATTACACAAATTTTCCTGCAAGCGCAATAAGTATAACTTCTGACTGTACTTGTGTAAGAGGAGGTTTAGTGCCTCTTTAAAACTCAAGGGTGGCTGCTTAGTCAGTACTAACTCCCCTCCCACTCCCATTTCTTCCACTGCTGGGTAACTTTTGTTGCAATATGGGTGTGACTTTTGATGGAGCTCCCCCTCCCAGTTATGTCATTACTTCAGTTCCTTTGAATCAGAATATAAAGTGCAGCAAACTTCAGACTCATTGACTGCAGGCTTAACAAGCGTCTGGGCTTTTCTTCTTTCCGTAGCTTGCAAGGATCTCTGGTTTTTTGCAAAACAGTTCCAAGAAAACAATGGCCAACTTCTCCTTATGGGCAACTTTTGGATTATGTTTGCTGAAGCTTTGTCTAGCAGAAACACGTAAGTTTTTTATGAATGAAAACACTGTTGCTAATAAGTTTATGCTTTAGACAGGACGAGCTCTTCTGTTAGATAGCTAATAGCTTTCTTGTGTCTATTTTTATACAAAGTTTTATCATTTTCAAGAGTTATCAGAGATGCTTTAGCAGTGCTGGTCTGTACAATCACGGAAGGCTGTGTATTGCTTGTAAAGGACAACTCCAGATGTATAAAAAGTGACTTGCAGAACATTCAAGTGAAGTTTAAACTAAGAACAGAAGTATGTTAGGGAGTACTGAATAGCTCTGGTAAAGCTCAGTTCGACAATGTGACTGCTGTTACATACTTCGTTGCTCTCCCAGTTCTGTTTCAGACAGTAAAGAAAAGGGG